CGTGTTCTCCTGTCTCAGCTTCCTGAGTCGCTGGGATTACAGGTGTGCACTACCGAGCCCAGCAGCCTCTTGCTTTTTGGTGGCCTAATTCTACTATGGTCCTAGCCCTAGCAGGGCTTGACTGCTTGGCTTTTCCCATGCATTTTGACCTTTTACATAGGCCATTGTTATTGTTATTATTATTTATGGTGCTGGGGATCCCTACTGTTATTAATTAAAAAATTTTTTGATACTGGGGATTGAATCCAAAGGCACTGTACTACTGAGCTAACTTTCCAGACCTTTTTCATATTTTTATTTTGAGACAGGGTCTTGCTAAGTTGCCAAGGGCCTTGCTGAGGCTGGGCTCAAACTTGGAATCCTTTTGCCTTAGCCTTCAGAGCCCCTGGAATTACAGGTGTGCACCCGGCAAGGCCCCTGTTATTTGGGGACCATAGATAAGTTAGTTCTTTCAAACAAATGAACATTCTAGAAACAAATCCTACTCTTTATTAAGTGCTTACTATGTGCCATAGCATTGTACTTATGTACATCATCTCTTTCTTTTTTTTTCTTACTGGGAATTAAACTCAGGGCCTTGAGTATGCTAGTCAAGTACTTTATCATTGAGCGTCACCCCCAGCCCTTTCTTGAATTTTATTTTGAGATAGAATCTCACTAAGTCACCCAGGCTGGTCTCCAACTTGGAATGCTCCTGCTTCAACCTCCTGAAAAGCTGGCATTACAGGTGTGCATCATCATGCCCAGCTCATTAAATTTTTATTTTATTTTATTTTTGTACTGGGAATTGAATCCTGGGTGTTTTACCACTAATTGACTTTCTCCAGCTCATATTATTATTAATTTAAAAAAAATTTTTAGTTGCCAATAGACCTTTATTTATTTATATGTGGTGCTGAGAATAATAGACCTTTATTTATTTATATGTGGTGCTGAGAATTGAACCCAGTGCCTCACACATGCTAGGCAAGTGTTCTACCACTGAGCAACAATCCCAGCCCCAATTTTTGAGATAGAGTATCACTAAGTTGCTGAGGCTGGCCTCAAACTTGAGATCTTCCTGCCTCAGCCTCCTATTGGTTCATTTAATCTTTACAATACTACTAAGTCCTTTTTGTGTGTGTGTGTGTGT